GGTGGGCGGTACACCAACAGAATCCCTAACCTGTCTCGCGAGCCCAACACACAATACAGGCCCTCAAGACCTCCTCTCAAAGGGATAGGAAGCCTGGTCAAGGAGATAGAACTCCTATAGACCATAGCAACTCCCCCTCCCCGACCCTCCGAGCGACATTGGTGCTGGACCGAGTACCCAGGCGGGCACAGCTGGAGAGGGGAACACCACCCTCCTCTCCTACCCAGGTCTCAGTAATGCACGCCAGGTCAGCACTATATGCTGCTGTATATTTTCAGTATCATTCACTTGCTCTTTAGTACCTTGTTTCCCTTAAAATAAGACTTAACCTGAAAATAAGCCCTAGCATGATTTTTCAGGATGCTCGTAATATGAGCCCTATCCCCCCAAAAAGCCTCAGTTAAGTGAAACCCTGTCCTCCACCATTGTGCAGCAACCAGAAGACGATGACATGACTGTAGTTGAATAAATGTAGATTGTTGTAGGTGAAAAAAAATAAGACATCCCCTGAAACCGAAAAAAAACTGTAATTGGTTTTTTTTTTTTTTTTTTTTTTGGAGCAAAAAATAATATACAGTAAGACCCTTTCTTATTTTCAGGGAAACAGGGTACTAGCTTCAAAATTTCCAGAAACTTTCCAGTCTCCAGGTGAATTTTAACTGACAGGCAAGGTATTTTTGATCATATATTTTGTTTTCAGTATGACCTTTGGTATAGGTGTATTTCCAGGGTTTCAGAGCTGCGTGTTTAACATAAATAGGCTTTTAGCTTGAAGTTATGTGTATTTTCTGTCATAGGTATTAAAGCACAGACTAATGCCATAGTTAATATTAGGGATGTGGTTTAGGTTTGGAAATTATTCAGAATCTGGAGTAAATCAGTCTTCAAGCCAATCCGAAGTGAAATGAAAAAGCCCAAACAAAAGTTCATATCTAACCGAGTCTCCGAAGCTACACATATTAGCACTTCAAAGGTTTAAATGGTTGATTTTTTAAAAAAAGGTAAAGCTATTGTAATCCACCAGTTCTGGAGGGCACCAGGTTGGAGAAGACTCCTGTACAAGGTTCAGTCATGGCATTGCAGTACCTTGAATAACTATGAAACGAGACCGAAAATGCAGTCACATGAGATATAGTTGCATTCATGAATTACTTAAAAGACAGAGGTGAGCTATCAAATGATATTGATTTTGGGATTTGGTTGATCCCGCTTAACTAATAAACCAAAGGTGAGATTTTATGTATCAGAACTTGAAATAATGCAACCGTGCTATTTTTTGAGCAATGGACTGTTGTTTTTTTAATGTTCAAACAAGAATGATATAAATGTAAATTTTGCATTGCAAGTAACATTTATAGCGGGCAAGTACTTTTGTCTTACTTGTAGACATTTTTCTTTCAGATAACGTAGTAAAATGTGGATGTTTGCTTGATTAAATAATTTTATGGGTGTGTGAAGGAGAGATAGATCAAAAAGGGAAGGAATAGAGTGAGCCGTCCCCTCGAATAGAGACGTCGGAGCGTGCAAGAGAGAGATAAAAGAAAGGAAGATAATAGAGAGTGGGGAATTGACTATAGAAGAAGGGGAAGGAAAGGAATCAAAGGGGAGAGAAGAAAAGATTGAAATCTGTTTGGTAGAGGAGGGAGAAGGAAAAGAGAGGAGTTAATTATGCCAGTGTGAGAAGAGAATATAAAACATCAAAGTGGGAGGAGAGTTTTTACTTCACAGAGGAGAAAGAAAAAGGATGAATGCGGATATGACAAAAGATTATTAGATTTCCCTAACCTGAAGGTAGGGGGATTACTGCCCGACCGGGAGCTGGAAAAGGAAAAGTCGGAGGAGACATTAGAATGGACAGTTGTGGTCTTTCCAGGAGGGCAAGGTCACTGGAGGAAGGTGATCTGACCAGATCAGTCCTTCAGCCAATTACCACCGGAGGGAGATTGTGCTTGCTGTGGAATGATATGCACGGTGCGGAGTGCTCCATTGAGGAAACCTACAGGACAGGAACGGTTTGGACCAGTCCCTCAATGAACCTTCCCAGTTTGCAAAGTCTCCCATTGAAATCAGCAAGAAGTAAAAATGAACAGGAATGATCAGAGAAGACTAATTTAAGTGTGAAACAATTGCCACGCTAATAAATGGAAAACAAAACTCAGGTGGGGCTGGTGGTTAGATGGGCCTCAAGAATGACAATAAATGCTTTTTCATGTACATTACTGACATGCACATTTTGTTAATGCTTGTATTTCTTGTAAAAGCACCTCTGCCAATGTTTAGTCCTTTTAAGTCAAACACCATCCTATTCGTTTATCA